TTTGGGTGACACTTATTTATCACTGTAGAGGATGGTGTCAATAAGCGAGGTGGAGTAAAATCTCATGCAATAGTCAACTTTATTCAGAACATCAGACAATTTATACTCCAAGGGTTAAGAAAGGCTAAAATGTAAAATTTGTTAGGAAGAAACAAAAAGAACAATAAGAAAGTGCATTAGGTTTCATAATGGAGTTTAATTTTATTTAATTAAAAGTAGCAAATGTTGCATAATATATTTCATTGAGAATATCTGTTTTTACAGCTGCACTGTTACCAAGCAATGTTTACAGAATACTCCCTGGGTCCATTGCACTGCATCTTAGGAATCCCCCTTTCCAAGCTTCAACATCGCTTTACACACCCAAGAAGCAGAGTTTCGACAGGCATGGTGGCTCACCTTCAATCCCAGCATTCTCTGAGTTCAAGGCCAGCCTGGTTTACAGAGGTTGTTCCAAGACAGCCAGAGCTACACAGAGAAACCCTGCCTTGAGAAACCCTGCCTTGAAAGAAAAAAAGAAAGGAAGGAAGGAAACAAAGAAGGAAGAAAAGAAGGAAGGAAGAAAGGAAGGGAGGAAAGATAGCTTTACATTGCAAAGTAGTCAGGTGATCTGCCATCAAGTGAAAAGTCTCTGAAGAATATTTTATCTTTTGTTGATTTACACAATGACATTTTTCTGTGCCATTATTAAACAGTATTTTTTTTCGATTCATTTTCCTTCTGTTACAATGGAAATAAACAAGTTAAAATTAAGCAGTTTAGTATCGATCAAACATGGCGTAACGTGCACTTTAGGTGACATTGATGTCTGACATCACACATCTGTATGTAGTACACATTGGACAATGAACACTGAGAGGTATGTCTGCTTCACAGACTAAGAGCCTATTATAAAAATCAGTGCATCATTTTAACAAATAAAAATGGGACTCGGGGCTTTTAGGATTCTGTTGGCATAGTTTAATATTGAAAAGACTTTTATGTTTCTGGGTTTTTCCATAACCCTTTCATTTTAATGCTACATCACCATTGCTTGGTTAGGCCTGGCTATCATCCCTTAGGATCACTTTACTCCTTTTTCCATTTGTAAACATGTATTATTTCAACTATATTTTTACCAAGCATGTGCTTGCTAAATACAAACAAACAAACGAACAACAGCATAATGGGAATCACTGATAGCAATAACACATGTTTGTGGAGGACATTCACTGATCTGGAAGGCAGATGTTTTTGTTGCTGTGACAAGAACTCGTGTTATCTTAAGTTGGTTGATACAGGGAAGTATTTGGGGCTGTGGGAAATGCATATTTCCAAAGAAACCGTATTGCATGCTTGTTTGACAGACATTCTCTGGTTTGATGCATCACTAGCAGTTAGTATGGACTCTGCATGCAGCTTTCTTAGCCAGTCTTTTACCCCACCAGGAAAGCCATGGACACTACAGATGTCATACAGCCGGTCTCTGATGTGTCTCAGACTCTCCAGCAAAATCCAATGCTTGACATAAAACCAAACATGCTCTGTTCTTTAAGATACCTGTAGTAATAAAAAAGCAAATTTCAAAGAGGTACAAATATGTGTTGAAGATAAGAACTACTGTTACTGAGATGTCCTGTGAATTATTTTTATAATTTATTTAGAGGAATTCCAGCATAGAAAACAGTTAAAATACTTTATATTAGTTTTAATTTGAGATTATTTAATTGTATTAGCTAAATTTTAAAACAAGGTTAAAGGAATCCCCTATGATAATGAAGCATTTAAAAAGAAAATATCAACAATTCTGTATAACATTCTTCAGTAATGTTTATTGGTTGCTTATTGGCTGGCAGTTCCCCAAACCTGGTTTACCTGACTCGAAACCCAGAAGAGAAGGATGCCAGTAGGTGACCTTCAGACCCTCACCGCGCCCCCTCCAAATCCAACCTTCCAGGCTCACCCCCAGCTCTGTAGCAGACCATCCTGTGTGGTGCCCGTTCCTTCCTGCCCCCACCTCAGCAGGTGACACACATCTCCCACAGCCTCCCTCACCATCCCATCCCTTTGTGTCCCCCCCCCAGTCTCTCAGGCATTCCCTGGGGTCTTCACTCACCCTTCTCCCCTCCAACCCAATCCCCCAGTCTAATCCCCAGCTCTGTTGCAGACTCTCCCCATTCTCTGCTCCCCCCCCCCCGTCCCCAGGGGACTACGCAGATCCTGGTGGTACACCCTGCTTTTTCTCCTGTGGACTCCGTTCGTTAGGCGGCCCCCTTCTAGTCCGTCTCTATCCCTAAATGTCAGCACCCAAAACAAGAAACACCTAATCAGAGCCCAGAGGCCATACCCGGCAGAATCTCAGAAGCATTCCCTACCTGGGGACACACAGCCACCAAACTCTCCTAAGAGAACCAGAAGGGGCAAGAAGGGGCTACCGGAACCACGGAACAAAGCCACCACCCAGCAAAGACAAGAGCAGATATCAGTAGCTAGAATTACAATCACTCCAAACCCTAGTGTAAAAACACAATCAATTACAGCCGGGACAATATGTCTCCACAACAGGCAAGTAATCTTACCACAACAGGCCCTGAGTATCCCACCATAGCTGAGGCCCAAGAAGCAGACCTTAAAACAGCCCGTGTAGATACCAGGAAATCAACAATCATTGGTTGTTTATCTCTCTCATTATCAACGGACTCAATTCCCCAGTGAAAAGACACAGACTAACAGAGTGGATGTGAAAAAAGGATTCATCCTTTTACTTCATTCAAGAAACACACCTCAACGTTGTGGATAGACATCACCTCAGGGTGAAGGTTGGAAAAAATATTCCAAGCAAATGGACCTAAGAAGCAAGCCGGTGTAGCCATTTTAATAGCTCACAAAATAAAACAAATCAGAAGAGATAGGGAAGGAAAAATCCACTAAGAGGGTATTGAAATTCTTAACCAAACACAAGGGCCCTGTGGGGTACAACAGAAACACTACAACATCTTAAATCACATATTGACTCCCACACGGTGATAATGACATAATATCTCACTCTCACCAATACACAGGTCATCCAGACAAAAACTAAACAGAAAAATGATGGAGCTGACAGAAAAAAACCAAATGGACCTAATGAATATTTATAGAATATTTTGCTCAAATACAAAATAACATACCTTTTTCTTAGCAACTCATGAGACCCTTTTTTTTTTTTTTTTTTTTTTTTTGACACAAAGCAAGTCCCAACAGAAAATTGAAATAACACCTTGTATCCCATATGACCACTATGGATTAAAGCTGAACTTCAATAGAAAACAAAAAGCAAAAGAAACAAACAAACAAAAAACCCCAGAAAACTTACAAAGTCATGGAAACTAAACAACTCTCTACTGAATGAAAAATAGGCCAAGGCAGAAATTAAGAAAAAAAAAATCTTTCTGAATTGAATGAAAATGAAAACACACCAAGACTTACAGGACATGATGGAGGTGGTTGTTCTAAGAGGCACATTCATTGCATACATTAAAAAGTTGGAGGGGCAGGGCAGTGGTGGCACATGCCTTTAATCCAAGCACTCAGGAGGCAGAAGTAGGTAGTCTACAGAATGAGTTCCAGGACAGCCAGGGCTACACAGAGAAACCCTATCTTAAAAAACAAAACAAAATAACAACCACCACAATAACCAATTAACACAGAAAAATCAGTAGCCTTCCTATGTACAAATGGACTGAGAAAAAATTAGGGAAACAACATACACTTAAGAAATATTCTGTTACAAACAGTCAGCTTTGAGAATTTCAGGAGAAGGGTCTTATGCCTTTCGATGGTATAGGAGTGATAGCCTAAGATTCTTCAATCTTTAGAAGTCAAACCTTCTTTAGCTCACGTAAGAAATAAATGAGAAGAACTAGATAAGGCCATGAAGATTGGATTTGTGAGCTCTTAGCAATTCTCAAGGAAGCTGCTAGAGGGCACTCGTGGGACAACAGACAAATATTTAAAAAGAAGATGGGACTTAGCTCTTCCTCTCAAAGAAAGGAAACTTGCTGGGAAGTAGCTGACCTTTTAAATCTTATCAACCAACAACAACCTGAGCTCTGTCTTGGGAATCAGGCGCAGCCACACAGAGAGAATGGTGGCTGTCAGGCTCTGGGGTGCCTAGGAATTATAGACATCTGAATCTCTCTGTTGACGAGAATGTCAGCAAAGTATTAGTGTTCCTCAGAGGAACAGGAACAGGAACAGGAACAGAACAGAGAGAGAGGGAGAGAGAGAGAGAGACAGAGAGAGAGAGAGGTGTGTGTGTGTGTGATTTATTAGAATGGTTAACAGGCTGTGGTGCAGCTAGTCCAATGGCTGTCTACCAATGGAAAGTCTAAGAACCCAATAGTTGTTCCATCGATGATGGTGGATGATGATGGCTCAGCTGGTCTTAAGTATACACTGGAATCCCCCAAAAGTAGACTCTAATGCCAATAAAAAGATGGACATGCCATCCTCTTTCATGTCCTTTATATAGGCTGACAGAGGAAGGTGTGACCCAGATTTAGGGTGGGTCTTCCCACCTCAAATGATTCAATGGAATTCTGGATGTGCTCCAAAAGAGGGCCATATGAACTTGAAGAGCTGCGTAGGTAGCATTTAGAAGAAACCTGATCACTATACACCAGGCCCAGGAGTTAAAGGCCTGGTTGGTGCTTTTGGGAGATGTTAGAAACTCTGGGAGTTTAGACCTCATGGAAGCTCTCCTGGTTACTGAGTCAATGTCTGACTTAAATCATTAAATTATAACAACTGTTTTTAATATCTACCAATCCCCATCCCAATAAGAGACATCATATGACACAACTCAGCACTTCCCACATTTAGGTCCCTCCCTAGTGCCCCTCATACACACAGGGACACCTACCAGCATGGCACAGACCATTAGTGTCCCCTAGCTGAGCGTCTGGAAACGGCCAGTCCACAGATAACAGTGGGACAGAGTTTGTTACATTCAAGAGTGTGGACACTTGAAAGACATACCGTTGGGAGCTACTTAATACCCTGAGTTTTGCTCACAGTTGGCTTCTTGGTGCAGTTATTCAGCTTTTGCCCTATCATCCTCCTGATTGAAATATCGTCCGCGCTGGGAAACACCTGTTTGGTTATTCCTGTAAAAGATCACAGCGACACACAAGAGCACTTGGTGAGGGGTTTGCGTCCCACGAACGGAGGCAAAACATAGTTTTGTCTCAGATTTACAAAAGTAGCCCAAATGGTCATGGCGTATTTAAGCAGATGAATGAATGCCCTCGGGGTTTCAAAGCATAGCAAAGGCTAACAGACAGGCGATACCATAAACACACCAGGCATGCTTGTCTTCCTATGACATCATTCGGCTTTAAGTCTTCTACGTGCTATGAACTCCACGCTTTTTGCCCCAACCTGTCACGGATCGATTTTTACTCATTTCTAACATTAGTCAAAACAAATTGATCTCTTGTTAACTAAGAAATGGTACATAAAGAGCTTGGTCAGAGACGTTCAAAACCAAACCAAACCAAAACAAAAACTGGGAAAGGTAGATCATCGTTTTTAAATCAGTCCACCAATTTTTAAAATGATCCCTTTCTAGAAACAAACAGTACATGAAGGATATAGCTAAGAAAGAGAAGTTAACACAAACTGTTACTGAAACTTTAAAACTTTAAAACAGTTGCTATTTTCTGAAGCTTTGAATTTTATGAATTCAAACTTCTCAGTTATAGACACTTAAGTTTGACGCCCATTTTTTCTCCCCCTTTGGGACAAGGTCTCATGCAGCCAAGGCTGGCTGCTGATTTGCTATGCAGCCAGAATGATATGGAATCCCTGGTCCTCCCACCTCCTACTCTCAAGTGTTGGGTTGACAAGGATGCATCATCAGGCCCAGATTTGATAACCATTTTAATGAAAGAAAAAAAAAAAAAACCTGTCGTGTGAAAATACAACGCAATCGAATTATCACCTATGATTTCTTGAACTTCATTCTGATTCATGGCTGGTTTTACAACTTTGTCTCTTGAAGTAGAAGATTTTGCCCCAGTCAGACTGTGTGTGGCCATGTATTCATTCGTGTAAAGTACTTGCATTAAATCATTAATAAATTTCTGAGGCTTGCTCTTATTACAACGGGCAATCTGCCATCTTTCAATCTTGAACTAAAAAATAGGAAATGATAACAGAGATTAGAATACCTGGAGAAATAAAAATGCTAATTAACACACGACACAAACGTCTGCACTCTTCAAGGTGGTATTTTCTATTTTAGTATATTTTATATTTCAGTTAGACGACACAATAATATCTGAAATGTCTGTTGGTTTTATGAAGTATTTGCTTGGGATATATGTGGATTTTTCTTTGGTTTTCTAAATGTGATGCCTTAAGATCAACCCTATTCTCACACTTATGTTTGGAGAACCATGGCTCTCAGAAGATGCCCCCTCCTAACCTCTGGTTCCGGTGGATGATATGTTACCCCACTGGAGATGTACAAATGTAGTGAAAGTTAAGCATTTTGAGATGGAAGATTATTCTTGACCAGTCAGGTTGTCTCAATGAGTCCTTAAAAGCTGATGATGGGGGTAGAAAAGGGGACCCCCCAAAAAAAGGAAAGAAAAAAGAAAAAAGAAAGGAAGGAAGGAAGGAAGGAAGGAAGGAAAGAAGAGCAGGCTTGACTGTGGATGAAGCACTATGCTAAGCACTAGGGATTTTGGAAATATGGATGACCAATCTGTAGCCAGGAAGGAAAGAGGAAACTCATTTCCACAGCCACTAGAATTCAAATTCTACAAGAGTGACTTAAACAAATAGGAAACAGACCCCCTTCCAGTGTCTCCCATAGAGTGTTCTTCCTGCCTGCACACTGGTTTTATACTGGTGAGCCCTGTGCTGGATTCCAAACCTCAGAACCCTGAGGAAATGAATTCATGTATGTGAAATCACTAAATGTGTGGTAATCTGTTGCATAGCAATAGGAAATTATATACAAAGAGTCAGATACTCTGATATCAGATCACACAATGCATTACCACCTCCGAAGAGTGAGCGATTTTCTTAGGCTTACACCCGGTTTTAACAGAAGTGCTACATTTCTAGTTACTGTGTCTCGGTCAGGGAAAACATAAATAGCTGGTGTTCACGAAGCATGCAGAAGCCACACTCCTCGAATGACACTTTAACGTGTAAGTCTACTTCTATAACTGGTGCATGGATTCCATAGTTCAAAAGCTGTACCTAGTCCCAGAACTTGCTTTTAATTTTCTAAATTCAGTGTCTGTTTCACAAATACGGACTCTCACTGTTAAAATGGAAAGATTCTTCATTATAGTGAGCTAATGGCAGGGACCTAAATCTGCCTAGATGTATCGCGATGTTCAGCAGTTTTCAGTGAACTGGAGGAGGGGTGATGTTCTGACCAACCTGTTTCTCACCGGGGGGCTGCTCTTCCTCAGCCTTCAGGGAACTTGGGGAACTGGAACTAGAGTTGGAACTACTGCACAGAGAGGCAAACGAGTCTGGGGAGGAGTTGTTCGTTGCTCTCCAGAGAGTAGATGCAGGTATGGACGCGGCTCCTCCACCCTTAAGCAGGGATTCTGCCATTCCAACCAGTTCTTCAAACTGGGTGACCGCCTGTGGCAATACTAAAATGGCAAAAGAAAGCAGCACTTTATGAACACACCAGTAGCAGTGGCATTTGCACATTTTTAGCGTGTGCCTTGCAAAGGTGCTTGGAATATCCTACTTCTTGAAATAATCTGCTTGATAATGAGTTTTGAAATGTTTGCTATATTTGAATGTCTACCCATCACTTTTGAACTAAAAAACCACGTTTCAGCTGGGCAGTGGTGGCCGCCGCCTTTAAGCCCAGCAGCTGGGATGCAGAAGCAGGCAGATCTCTGAATTCAAGGCCAGCCTGGTTTACTGAGGGAATTCCAGGACAGCCAAGGATACACAGAGAGACCCTGTCTTGAAAACAACAACAATAACAACAAAACAAAAAAACAAACAAACAAAACCCCCCAAAACAAACAGAAAAGCCAAAAACAACGTTTCAAAGTTCTCTAACTGCTAGGCTGCTGAAGCTCTCATGTAAAGACAGAATTAATACTGTTACAGTCACATCCTAAAGGCCCATATTAGGCAATGTAAGTGCCAAGATACAATTAACCACAGATTTTAAAACATTGTGATTGTTTAGGTAAGAAGCTAAATTCTATCAACCCAATAAACTAGTAATGTTGTAACTCAAACCTATGTTGTCAAATATTAAAGGTGAGTTTTGGAGATCAGCTGAATTACTCTGTTCCTTTTTTGTTTTTGAAAACTTACATAGTCCAAGTTTCATGCAGCCATGCAAACTAGTCTTCTTGCTATAGCTGGCTTGTTTTCTACGGACAAATTGCCTGCTGTTGGAGCTGGAAGAGACCTTGAACTCTGCCCAATTTAATTCCTCACTCAATGGCGGAGGGTGCTGCTTGTTATTGAGAGAAAGACTGAGAACTCCTTCTGGGAGCATTTTTACTAAGCGTATTATTGAACTATAATCTTCACAATAACTGAGGATGTATCCAGATCAGTACACGAGCACTATGTTAACAGGAAATTAAAGAATAAATTTATTTATTTCGTTTACATCCTGGCCCCTCCCTCTCTCCTCTCAGTCCCTCCCCACATCCGACCTTTGTTCCCACCCCACTGAACTCCTCCATTTCTTCTTAAGAAAGGGCAGTTCTCTGCAGGGCATTGGTGGCACACGCCTTTTGTCCCAGCACTTGGGAGGCAGAGGCAGGTGGATCTCTGTGAGTTCCAGCCTGGTCAAAAGAGCTAGTTCCAGGACAGGCTCCAAAGCAATACAGACAAACCCTGTCTTGAAACCCCCCGCCCCCAAATGCAGTTCTCCCGTGAGTATCAACAAAAGATATCAAGCTGCTGTAATTTGCAGTAAGACTGGGCACCCAAGGAGACCACATATGAAGAGTAGGATCCCAAAGCAACACACTGCCTGGGTGCTGCCACTTAATCTATCAGCAATAACGTATTGAACAAGGCAAACCCTTGGATTTCCCTAAAGTAATGGTGGGAGTGTCTGCTAATGGTGGTGCATCCTTGAGGATGTACCTAGGAGTTTATGCCCATGAGGTCACTGGGAGTGGAGGCTTCCATACCCAGTAGTCTGAAAGTAGAGGCTGGACACAGACAGAATATTCTGACTCAGCATAGTGGCAAAACCAGCAAGGCTTTTAAGAAGCACTGCTAACGATTCAATGGTGTGTATGAGCAGCTGGAGAGAGTAGCCAGGTGCGGTGGCTCACACCTGTAGCTCCAGCTACTCAGGAGGCTGAGATAGGAGGATCGCTTGAGTCCAGGAGTTGTGGGTTGTAGTGTGCTATGCCGATTGGGTGTTCGCACTAAGCTTGGCATCAATATGGTGACCTCCTGGGACCGGGGGACCACCAGGTGGCCTAAGGAGGGGTGAACTGGCCCAGGTCAGAAACGGAGCAGGTCAAAACTCAGAGCTCTGGGGAGCTTCCTAAGGGTTAATAATCTATGCACAGACACAGTGTAACCAAGTGCCCCTCACGCTTTCTGTTTGGTACCCTAGACTCCACCCTCTTTCTCTTTGTAGTCTACTTTGTATCCCCATCTCCTGAAATAAATGCAGCTGCTGCTAGAATTGGTTTCAATGAGTTTTGTGAGGTTCCCCTCCCCCTATCAAGTTATGGAAGGTGAGAGAGATTTGGGGAAAATCATCAAATTTGCAGGTGGTATCAGAAGTCTTAGGCAATTTGCCATTCTGAGGGCTCTCTTGTAGATCCAACGAAATGAAAATGTGCAAGTGCCACCAAGAGGGATAAGGTGTGCTGTGGCTTTCATATGAAACGTCACTGAAGGTTTGTTTGTTGAATGGCTGGACCCCAGCTGGTTGTGGAAACTTTGGGAGATGGGTCTAGCTGCAGGAAGAGGCCCCACAGCACATGCCTTTGAACAGTCTACCTGGTCCCTGGTCCCTGATTTGCTCTCCTTGCTCCCTGTCTCTTCTGGCATCAGAGGCTTCTCCACACATTACACCGTGTCAGTGTAGGCCCACAAACAGAACCGGATGCCCACAACTTAACCCTCTCAAACTAAATGCCAAAGGAAACCTCTCCTTTGTTAAGTTGCGTGTCGGTTAGGTATGTTGTCAGGGGAACAGAAAAAGCAAACAGTACAGAGATTTGACCTAATCCAGAACAGGGATGAGTCACAGGGAGGTCTCAGCTAAAGACTGAGCTGAGAGCTGGAGGTGAAGCAGGAATTAAATAGGCACAGAGCAGGAGAGAGGTCATCAGAGGCGGAGGGCTACATACGCCCCACACTTGAAGACCCAAAGGGCCAAAGCTTGGGATGCAGAGAAATGGGAATCCAAACACGAAGGGAGGCATCAAGGATCTTTACCTGTTTCTCTAACACAAAGGTTGTACATGTTTATCAGCACACGTCTTTCCCATGTCTACTTCCTTACCTCTGCTGGTGTTTACTATTGTACATAATCAGAACCATGCTGATACACAGCATTGTAGCCCAGCTCTCCTTCCAGTTAAGGCTGCCGGGTGAATGCTTCATCAGTTCTTCTTGGAACACATGGATTTTGAAGTCTGGTTTACGTAGTCAAGAGAAGAAATGAAATAAGCAGAGGGGATGACTTTGAGCCAGAGAGTTCTTCCTGAGCTTGTAAGAAAACCCCTTGCTTCAGAGCTTGCCACTCTTTTAGACATGGACAAGCTTTGTTTGTCCTAGAACCCAACACAAGCAGCTTCAAAAACATGACCTCTGCTTTACATTTTAATCTTTCCTCCTTTTGCTCTCCATAATACTCTATAATTCACTGTGTGTATTAAAATTAATTACCTTTTCTTGCTAACTAGTATTCCTGAGATGAATCATCAATCCATCTACTGACAAATTACTTGCCATGAGAAGGCACAATTGTGATGATGATTCCCTCGCACTTAAGATATTGAAATGCTTCTTCTTTTTTTTCTTTGTGGATTAACTTGCTTCGTGCTTTTCCTTATTAGAAGACCCTGACAAACCCAGAACATACATTTCACCTGTGTCTCTGGTCATGGCGATGCCAAAGCGTCCCAGGAGCATAACAGGGTCACCACGTATAAATCTTTTCAAGACTCAGATCACATTGCTAAACTACTCAGCAGAAAGACTTTTCTAACTTACACATTCATCAGTCACAGAAGCCCCTTTCCTGCCCCTTTCCTGGAAAGTCAATCACAGTTTTAGTACACTTTAAGCTATAACTATTAAGAGTGTAAATGTATGTGTTTGAGTTTTTGATCATCTTTCTCTAAGCTCGGCATCTTGGAAACTCCCTCCCTCCCTCCCCAGAAAAGCTTCCTGCTCTCTACCCAGCCTTATCTGGAGGATGTGTCTTAGCCCAGGATGCCTGACTTATGTCAGGGGTGACTTTTGACACAGTTCCCTGCAAACCTCTTCCCCTGAAGATACACATGGTAATTAGGTAAGTGCTCTAGCCATCCCCCTCCCCCACCCCAGGCAGGGTTTCTTTGTATTGTTTTGGAGATTGCTCTGTAGACCAGGCTGGCTTCAAACTCACAGAGATCCACCTGCTTCTAACTCCTGAGTGTGGGATTAAAGGAGTTCCTCACGAACACCCGGCTGCTCTAGCCATTTTGATAGAACCCTACTGCCGCATACAAAGCCTTGTGATAGGAACATGCCACTTAATGCAAATTAGGATTTGTCCCCAGGCTTCCCAAGCCTATATATATTTTATACTCTGGAATAAACAGATTTGGAGATAGTGTTAAGTGGTGCAGCATGGGCCTTACATGAAAAGCTCTGGGCTTGACCCTTGGAGCTGCAACTAAATAAAGGTGATGAAAATGTGCAGATTTTATTATTTAAAATATTTTTTAATTCATTTTTAATTCATTTTACATACCAACCACACTTCTGCCTCCCAGCCCTATGAGGCTTTCAGAGATATAAGTTTCCCTAGGTGACCACTGCATGCTTCTGTCCGGAATGGTATGCGACATTCCGGCTGCCCCATGTTTGGTCTGTAGAAGCTCCTCCAGTTGCCACCTTCCTACTGTTTCTGCTAGACTTCCATGCTTCCTGCTCAGACATTCAAGCACATTTTCTCCCTGATGCTCTCAGAAAATCTCACGGTATGTTTACAACACCTAGAACTGACCTTCTCCGTGAGAAACTCCGGGGCTCTTAGTGGGAGGTAACATCCTGGGGCCACATCTGGCTGTTAGAAACATCTGCCTTTGGGTTCTTGTTTCCAAGCCCACGCAAAGATAGTATTAGGAAATAGACGATACTTTTTTGTTAGTTATTTTTAGACAGAATCTTGCTATGTAGCCCAGGTTGGCCCTGAACACAGTATACTGCCTAGGCCGGCCTCAAGCTCATTATCATCTTTAAACTTCTCAGATCCTAAGATTTTAAATGTATACCACTGCAACCAGATGGGACTATTTAATAAAAAAGATTTATTTTTATTACTTTTTAAGTGAGAGAGGGAGAGAGAGAGAGAGAGAGAGAGAGAGAGAGAGAGAGAGAGAGAGAGAGAGAGAATGCACATGAATGTAGGTTCTGGTAAAGACTAGAAGAG